AGAACCAGATTGGAGAAGGTGGTTTTGGACCTGTTTACAAGGTGATTCTTCTCTTTAAAAATACACTAACTGTTATTTTTTTAACCTTGTAAATCTTACTTATGTACATTAAAAATTTAGGGTAAGATGTCAGATGGACAAGAAATAGCTGTAAAAAGGCTATCAAGAACATCGAAACAGGGGATCAAAGAGTTTATGAATGAAGTTGGATTTGTTGCCAAATTCCAACACCGAAATCTTGTCAGGGTTTTGGGTGGATGTGTTCAAGGAGAAGAAAGAATGTTAGTCTATGAATACATGCCTAATAAAAGTTTGGACCATTTTATTTTTGGTAAGATAACCTCTGGAAAATTGTAATTTGTCATAACTAACTCTTATGTCTAATTCTCTTTTAATTTGAATAACCTTCTCTGTAACAGCTTATTGAGCTTTGACTAACTTTGCTTAGATCCTAGAGGAAGAAATCTTTTGAATTGGAGGAAGAGGTATGAAATCATTATGGGGATTGCTCGAGGACTGTTATATCTTCATCAAGATTCTAGATTAACCATCATCCACAGGGACTTGAAAACAAGTAACATTCTATTAGACAATGACTTTCTACCCAAAATTTCTGATTTTGGTTTAGCTCATATCTTTGAAGGAGATCTTTCAGCAGTAAAAGCAAAAAGTATTGTTGGGACATAGTAAGTTGTATGATGGTTTACTAATAATTTTTCCACAAGGGAGGCTAATAAAATGTCTTAGTTGTGGAATAGAAAAACTAATGTCGTGTTGTGCTTGATAATGTGCAGCGGTTATATATCACCTGAATATGCAGTACATGGGCTATTCTCTCCCAAATCTGATGTATTTAGCTTTGGGGTTATAGTGCTGGAGATATTGAGTGGCATAAAAAATAGTCGTTACAGAAGTCCAGACCATTGCCATAATCTGTTGGGGCAGGTAGCATTATTTAGTTGCTTGTAACTCGGCATTAAGTTTTTAAGCCGTTCCTATATTGATTTTCCTGGGAACCAACACATACATCTTGTTTCTTAAGTATTTTCTATCAATTTTTCTATGATATTATATTTGCATTTTTTTTTCCCTCATATTATCTGCACATCATTGTACGCTTCAAGAGAGAGCTCTTCTACAATTGATAATGAATTTGAAGAACTTTACAGAATTGCATCTAAGCATTATTTGTTGTGATTTGTTCTCCACTACTGACATTTTTGGTGCATCTAGGCATGGATACTGTGGAAAGGAGAACGACCACTGGACTTTATGGATCCAAACTGTGGCCGGACAGATATGTCAACTGAACTAGTCAAATGCCTGCAAATTGGTCTCTTATGTGTGCAAAAGTTCCCTGAAGATAGACCAACTATGCTGTCTGTGGTTTTCATGTTGTCCAATGAATGTATGACGCTTCCTGAACCAAAGTTGCCTGGGTTTTTTATGGAAGAGTTTGATGGTTATAGTCAGGACCACTGTAGTAGCAATGCTATGACTATTACACTTCTGGAAGCCCGAAATTAGAAACTTGTCACGGTCTTATTCTTTAAAACTTATAGTTGTAATATGCAGAATACAGAAATGTAAGGTTCAATCTTATATAAAACTATTCTTTTTTCTTCCTTTCCGGTTCCTCTGTCAAGATGGTTAGAGAAGAGCTTGGACAGTTTGGTTTAATCTCATGGAAGCCTCATTTATCAGAACGGAAAATAATTTTCTCAAAAGAAAATAACGCCAAAAAGTTGGTTTAATTAAGTAAAGATTGACCTTACTCCAATAGCTAGTTCGGAAGTGTATTTTTGCTTTCTTAAGAATCCTGACAACTATTTTTGTTTCCTTATCATCTTCAATAAGTTTCAACAGTTCTGAAGGGATTTGACACTGAAGACTCATTAGATCTAAGACTTGGTGGAAGACAACATCAGATTTCTATAGGATTCTTCATGTTTTATATTTTTTTTTTCCTTATAGGCCTGAAAGAATTCTTGAAATATTCAACCAGAGAATTTGAAATGGCCATACAAACACTTCTCACCTCATTTGAATCTTTTCCAGCCCAAAACATCGTTTACTAGCATTTTTACAGACAATTTTGGTCACTTTCCACGTTATCACGCCTTATTTGAGGTTAGATCTTCTTTTATAAATATATACACACACACATATATATGTATATATAGCAGGAGCTCAAATCATTAGTTATGATTCTTCAAATTTAATTTTTTAGTTAATTCCCTTATCAAACAAGATTCTTCCATCCAAGAGCTACTTCTTATGCTTCATTGGCAACAGGTAGAATGTAGTTTGCTGGGAATGCTCAAAACAAAGAAGATTGGTTCAAAAATTTGAACCGCAGATCAGATGATTGATTTATCTGACTGATGTTTCTCTTTATTCTTTCTGTTCTTTAAGAATAACAGGAAAATGGAAGTAGGTCAGATCAAACAGATTATTTATATCTCTATTTGTTTTCATCAGCTCTTTTTTTTCTCTACAGTATGAAAATTACCTTCTTTACCTAAAACTTTTGGGAAAATTGAAAGAAGGTCAAGAAATAGTAGTAACAAGGTGATAAGGGCTCAAAACTGTTGGAAAGATAGAAGGGAAGATAAATCTAGGAAGAATAGTAAAGTAAGCATCTCACTCAATCCTTTTTCGCTGGCCAAATAAGATGGAGAATCTCCCATGGAAAAAACAGATATGCTATTCACGGGATGATTAGTTCTAGGGTGGCTAGTTTATTTATAGACTGAAATTACATTTAAATAATGAAATAAAATCAAGAAATAATCCCGAAATTTTTGGGACTGACTCCAACAGCAAAATATCAAGAAACTAGACGTTGAGATTCTCTTAACATGGATCCTTATTTGAATTGACTTCTAAAATCTCTCAACCATAATTTAAATTAAACAATTACATAAAAAAGGAATTAAATAAAGAAATGCTAATTAATTAACGTTCTGTTTCTTACCTCTTCTAAAATAAGTCAGCAGAGTTTCATATCACAAGGTTACAAAAAACCATGTAACAAGGAGAAGAATAAAAATTCATAATTGAGATCACTTTAGTTTTTCTGCATTATTGCAGAGTAACCGTCACCTCTAGAGACATTCTTGTACTAGTTTTTCTGCTACTGTTAAGTTTATAATTGCATTTTAAAAGAAGTTTAAGTGCGGATTTAGTGTGGTATGAACTTTAAAATGAGTGGATTTGATGGCACTTTCTGCAATAGTTCCTGTATCAGGGGTCTGCAAAAATCCCCATCCAACCCAAGCAAATCTGACCTGATCCAGTCCAAAAGCATTGGCCCGAAGCAAGATAAGACTAAACTGGATTGAATTGGTTCAATCAGACTAGACGTGACGGGGAATTGATTCCTCAAACCAGTTATCTGGTGTAGTCTAGCCCATGTTCTTTTTAAATTTCAATCTATTATTTATATAATTTTTTCAATTCTTCTATATAACGTTTTTATCAATTCAAATAACTAAAATTTATCTAATTATCTCTTAACTTCCTGAGTGATGAGCACATGTATATATTATCTAAATTGATGAGGATTAATCAATTAAATATAACATTATTAAGAGATTGAAAGGTAATGATCAAGTATGATGAAGCTTGGATCAGCAAAATTTTATTTTCAGTACTTATTTTTTGATTGATTAATACTTTTTATCTTCAATAATTAGTTTCGTTAATTGATGAATACTTGTGTTTTATCTTTGTGCAAGAGTGGATAATGAGCAAGCTTCCACTGTTGACCAATCTTACCTTTGTTGAGACCAGTTTTTATGGCTATTGTTATTGTCTTTTATTGTGATTATTGAGTTAAAACCTCACATGGAAGGAAAAACTTTTAAAAAAATGAACTGGACCAAACTTCAAGCTATCCTTTTCAATCTAAGGTTTTCACTAAACTAACCATCTGGTTAATAGCTAACCCAGTCCGGTCTTGTCCATGCATACTCTTATCCAATTTATTCTACCTCCAGTCCTAATTATAAAAGCTAATTGACTAATTTAAAAAAATTAAATAAATAAATTCAGTTAGTTATTTGCAATACATATTTATTATCTTTTTCAAAATATATTTACTATTCAAGTGTATTGGTTAGAATTACCATTATTAGAAGAACTATTTTGAAAAAAAATGCAAAAATATAGGAAAAAAAGTGGATTTGGTCTTATATTTATGACTAAAATAAAAATCAAACGAGATCTTATATTAAACACCAGAATTAATATGATGCATATGCTTGATTTGATGAAGTGACTTAATCATGTTCAAGTCAGTTACTACTTTCTCATGACGTCTACAATTGAAATTAAAGGACATTGCCTAGGATTTTCCATAGAAATTATGATTTTTATTCTTTTTCAATTTCCGTGCTAATAAGAACTATACTGCTCAATCTCATGCAAAACTCACAATAGACTAATTCATCACCCATTTCTTAAGTTATTAGAATACGCATTGAATAAAGAAACTATTTTTTTTTTTAATTCAGAAAATGAAAATTTTCTGTTCCTTATTTGTCCTAAAAGGTTTTAACAATTAAGTATGACCTGTAACTGAAAATGTGGCTACAAAGAAAGTAATAAAATATAATCAAATGTTAATTATAAGGTAATGGGACTAAGTAATATTACTTCTAATATTTAATATAAGAATTAGATAACTGATTTGTAAATATTAAAAAACTAGTTAAATTAGTTATTTATAATAAATGTGCGTTTATTTCCTTAAAATACTCTCTTTGATCATGTATATTGTAACTACCCTTTAATGAAAACTCCTTTAATACATCCAATAAATAAGGATGCTTTGGAAAAATAATTATAAATTTGGAAAGCAAAATAAACCGAGCTCTTATATTTGTAACCAAAGTATACTTCTTGCGTACTTCTAATATTTAAAGGGAGTATAATCAATCAAATGCCAGTTATAGGGTACTTGAATGGAGTGTCACTATTTAGTGAAAGTATCTCTCTCATATATACACCAAAAACAAAATCAAAGATGATCTCAAGACGCCGCAACTATTACAAGCAGGAAAATTTACATGTTCTCTGCTGAATCATTTGAAGTATACAAATCTGTTTTGTGAGGCTATGCTTGTTTCTCTACCTAGCATGTAGCATCGTGACAGTAACTTCATTCACACTGTATGATTGGTCTTGCTTACTTGAAGACGTTTCTGTTTCATTAGGGTTCCTTCCCACACAAAACCCAGGGCTTTTAGGCTGTGGCATCAGTACAGTTTCACTACTCAACATCAATACCACAGTGGACATTGTTGGTCTATCTTCCGCGCGCTCTTGAACACAGAGGAGCCCAACCTGCACGCATCGAAGCACTTCGGATGGCGAATATGAACCTGCAATCGATGGATCGATGAGTTCAAGTGCTTTTCCTTCTTTCCATTGACTCCATGCCTATAATGAAACACAGTTGTTTTTAGCACAATATGATATGACAAAGTATTAATCATGTAACTATCTAACAACATAAACTCTTGCACATACATGTCCAAGAAGATTCAATTCATCATTTGAGTAGTAAAACCCTCTGTTCTTCCTGCCAATTATGATCTCGAGTACTAGAACCCCAAAACTAAATACATCGGACTTTATTGAGAAGAGTCCATTCATGGCATATTCTGGAGACATGTAGCCGCTGCATAATGAAAATAATATAAAATATGAGGTCAAAACATTAGGTCTCTTCGAGAGTATTAGAGGTTGTTGAAATACTCGCTATGTCCCAACAACTCTCAATGTATTTGCTTCTGTTTGATTTGTTCCAAATATTCTTGCCATCCCAAAATCTGATATCTTTGGGTTCATTTTTTCGTCGAGTAGGACATTGCTGGCCTTAAGATCCCTATGAATGATCCTAAATCTAGAATCTTGATGTAGGTAAAGAAGTCCTCTTGCAACTCCACATATGATGTAGAAACGCTTTTGCCAATTCAATATGGATCTTCTTGCTTTATCTGGAAATTAGTGGATGAAAAAGTCATGTACATGAGTAAAAATTTCATTCACAATGAATCGAGCTTGACCGTAAGAAAAATCATAACAAACAAGATACACCATGTGAATACAACTCACCAAACAAAATGGAATCAAGGCTTCTATTCTCCATGTACTAAGATGTAATTAATAGTGATCTGATATAAGAATTCTAATATACTAGAATTTTTCAGCTATCAGATAAAATAAACAAATATTATATTAAGACTCCATGGACTGTCAAGACAACCGGAGTGGTAAAATTTCTAACAAAATGTCAAGGACACATGTCATGCCCAAATTGGCTAAGAAAGGGAAAAAGAAAATAAAAAGATAAAAAAAGAAAATAATAATCAAGTTAGATTAAAATCTAATTAGAGTTAAGTAAGATGATTATAGTTAAGTCATCTTCCATAAGATCTCGACACATAACAAACATGGTTCATTGGATGGCTAGGATTCAACCATCTATCTTTGAAAAGTCAAAAACTTCTAGAAGGGTAATTAGCCAAGTTAATCAAGGAATCAAGAGAGTTAACCTTGATTAAAGCCTACTTAATCTTAATGGATAAGAAGAGAGGACATAAGCCCTAATGACTCACCATCTGAGTGTCAACATATTAAGCCACATAGCTTAAGATTTGTACATTTGGAAAGAGATAAAAATTGGAAGGCCAAGATCAAGTCTTATACGAGAAGGACATGTGTGGAATTAATGGAAATATGAAGCCTATAAATACCCCCCACATGTTCATTTTGTGCAAGGCCATTCAAGTAGGGAAACTCTTGCAAAATTTCATTTAAAGAGAGAAAGAGAAGAGTTTTAGTGAAAGGAAGTCACTTGGAAGCAAGGTAAGCTTCTACAACTCTTCTATTTCAAGTTATAATGGTTATATGTTGGTTTTATGCTATTTTAATGATGATGGAAAGTCATTTTCCTGAGAGGAAGTGCTGCTCAAATTTCATCAAAATGGATAAGAAAGGTTTAGGTTATGTATGATTAAGATTAGGCATGGTTAAAGGTTAAGGATTAAGTGATTACATGTTAATTTTGTTGAAAATCCTTTTCCCTATGATTATATATAGTGTTCAGCCAAGTCAAGTTAAATGGGAAGGGATTGGATTTTCATATAACTAATATGATAAATGGATTCTACATGAAAAAAAAAATTATGTAGTAAAGGCCCAAGAAAGTTCAAGAATTAAAGCTAGAAAAATAAACCATAAAAATAAAATTAAAAAGGGGTTTAGGGGGTTAAGTTATGGAGTTGTCATATTGCTTAATGTTGTGTCATTGGTTGCCTAATAGGCTATACAAACAAAGGGTAAAGATCTAGTCAAGAGGAAAGAGTTTAAGAGGAAGGAAAGTATTTAAGGTAGCTTTGCAATCCATTATATTATAGTGTCACTTTACTTTGTATGATTATGGTTACGTGTTTTGCTAACTTGTTATACTATGAGGTGGATGAGAATGTTATGTCATATGATGTTACCTCCATGAAATTTATGCCTTGGCTTATGCTATGTTGAGTGCCATGAATTTTTAGGATAATATGTCCTTGCCATAGCATAAAGATAAAATTAAAGTATGCATGCATATAGCTTGATTTATAATGTATTGTGTGACCTTGATAATGTATGCAATTGCTACTAAGATTCCCTAAGAATCTTACCCTAATATTTAAACAAACCCTAGGGCCTTCAACATCCAAAGGAAAAGGAAGGGAGTTGGCTTTTACTTGAAGAGGTAGTAAGCCATAGTGACTTTATATGGCTTTGAACCTTTCTATTTTGGAAGAATGTAATGATAAGCATGCTTTAAGTTTCTAATAGTATGATTAAGGTTAGAAGTATACAAGCATGTTAGAAATATCTAGTATAGCTAATGAGAGTATATTATGATGGTAAATGGTCAGTTAAGTTAAGTTACCCTTTCAAGGGGGTAAAAAGTCAACTAAAATGGACTAAAGTTTGACCAATGACCATTTGAGTAAACAAGTGAGTTAGGCTATGAAATTTGGCGAGCAAAGAGATTTGATTTTCTCTTTAAAATGAGAGGTAGTTTGCCTAATTCTGATAACCGAGTAGAAAGTTATGCCTTTCCAAATTAGGTAAAAATAAGGTAAAAATCCAAAAATGACCAAATGAACAGTAATTTTTTAAAGAAAACTGGGCTTGAATTTCAAGGAAATCAATCCATAAACTATTTTTCCTCAAAATTTTATCCAAAGAGCTTTCCATAGAACTTGAAATCACTTGATTTCGATTTTTCTACAATTAGTTATGAATTTTCAAAATTTGCCACATTTTAGGGTTATAATGAATAGTAATCCGAAAAAGAAATTTTTCAAACTTGATTTTTCATAACTTGTAGTCTTCAAAAGTGATACCAAATGCTTTTGCAAGGCAAGTTAATTGGTATAAACTTAAGGTGTGACAACAACTAAACGAGTTATGTGAATAACTATTGCTACATGCATTAACAACTACTGTCCACCTGCATCATACACTTGTCATTGACAACTAAACTGGTTATATTAACAATTATTGCAGTATGTATTAACAACTAATATCGACCAGCACCACACAACTATTAGTTATATTAATACCTATCGCAACATATATTAACAATTAATATCCACCTGTATCATACACTTGTTGTTGACAACTAAACTAGTTATATTAACAACTAATGTTTACCTATACTATACATTTGTCATTAATAATTAAACTAGTTATATTAACAACTATTGTAGCATGTATTCACTTCTAACCCGGTCAATAAGGATAACTTGGTAATTTCATAATTAGATTCTTTTAGCCACAAGTCTCTTAGGACTTTAGATTTATTTAATGATTTCATGAGACCTTATAATAATAATTTCTCTTGAGAGTTGAATGTAATTTTCCCAAAAGTAAGACGGAAACCAGGTGGAAACTTTCCAGTAATTTTGAAGAGAAAATTAGTATAATAAAACCGAAAAATGTGAATAATTAATTAGTTGTTATTTTAAAAATAAATTACCAACATTTTAAAAATAAATTAGTTTCTTAAATCAGAGTTTTAATTTTAACCTAGTAACGGTTGGCTAAAAATACCTTTTAACATTTTAACTTTTTTTAAAACATAGTATTTCTTATTAGTGAGAATCTATTAGAGATGCTAAAAATTTAACTATTTTTTTTGTTGAGGTATCCTATGAGACAATCCTATTCGACACCACTACCAAATATGATTAGCTCTCTCAGCAACAGATATTTGAATCTTGATTCCTCGGGTTGCCAGGAACGCCTCCTTCTGCAGTTCCGCTTTGGTTAACAGTTTAACTATTTACAAGTGGCATTTTGTCCGTGCATTTACAGATGCGGTGCCGAACAGCCATGCCTGCGCCATTCAGCCGCCGCTATTATGCTTTTCCGATGACGATGAGATCAGTTTTCTGTTCAAATTTGGTGCCTGTTCTTCTTTGAATTGGTATTTCTCTTACTAATTTATAAAGTCAAATTAAAATAATAATTTGAGGGAGGACGACGTGAGAGGGAGATCAGTGCACTCTTCCAACAAAGTATAGCTATTCTATAGCAATTTCTTAGTACTTGAAAGATAGGAAGAAGAAAATTCAACTTGACTTTGCAGAAAGAGATAACAAATGACTTTTTCTTCCCCTTTTAAAAATCTCAAGTAACATTAACATATGAATTCAAAGAAACTTCCGGAAGTAAGTAACAATCATATCTCCGTTGTTGACTTTTTTGCTGTTAAAGAAAACCTTAAAGTTTTGGCTTAGCTTGGAAATCAGTCATTCAGAGTATAGAGTTGTTTAATTGGAGTGCCTCTCTTTCTTCACTTACCCTGTTTACAGGAATCATGTTTTAAACAAGGTTTGCTTGTATTTGAACTCTTGTTTTTCCTTCCTTTTCTTTTCCTGTTTCTTGGTTGCATCTGAGGATATAAAACACTGGCATTGCTCTTTGTGGCCTTGAAATTCACGTTTATGTGGGAGAAAGAAGAGGGTACATATGCATAATCTCCTAATCTTTGTTTTTAGTTTTACTCATATATTTTTCCTTCACAAAACTTCATCTGCAGCAAATACCTTATCGCCAAACCAATCTCTTATAGATGGCCAAGAGCTTACGTCTGCTGGACAACTTTTTGTTCTTGGATTTTTCACACCTGGAACCTCCAAAAGTCGATATGTAGGGATATGGTATAAAAATATTACACCCCAAACTGTTGTTTGGGTTGCTAACGGAGAGAACCCATTGAATGACTCAAGTGGGGAATTTACAATTGGTGCTGATGGGAATCTTGTTCTCTTGGATGGAGAAGAGAAAACTGTCTGGTCTTCAGGTCCCTCAAGAAAAATTCAAGATCCAATTGCAAAGCTGCTAGATTCTGGGAATCTTGTTTTGATTGATGGTAAAGGCGATTCTGGTAGTTATATATGGCAAAGCTTTGATCACCCTACTGATACTATGTTACCAGGCATGAGGGTTGGTTGGGATAAGAATTCAGGCCTAAACAGGTACTTGACTTCTTGGAAGGGTGAAAATGACCCATCTGAAGGAAACTTTACCTACATCTTTGATCATATTGAATTTCCTGAAATTGTGATTCGCGAGGGATCCATTATCAAGTTCCGGAGTGGAATTTGGAACGGTGTTGGAATAAATGGGGACATTTTGACATCATTTACAGCCTTCAAGCCAGAACTATTAGTAACTGACAACGAAGCAGTATATTGGAATGAACCAGGAGATAGACTTTCGAGGCTTGTGATGAGATATGATGGACAAGCTGAAAGATACATATGGGACACTCAAAATTCAAAGTGGACTAGTATCTATGAGGCGAGAAAAGACTTTTGTGATAATTATGGAGCTTGTGGGGAAAATGGTATCTGTGATATCAATAGTATCCCTGTTTTCTGTAATTGCTTGATTGGCTTCAAACCTAAATCTCAAGAAGAATGGAATGCATTTAGTTGGTCTGGAGGATGCACTAGGAGAACACCATTAAACTGCACACAGGGTGACAAGTTTAAAAAGTTTAGCTCGGTGAAATTGCCCATGTTGCTGCAATATTGGACACAAGATAATATGAGTATTGAAGAGTGTAAGATGAAGTGCTTGGAGAACT